TGGGAGATGGTGAAGGACAGGCAAGCCTGGCATGCTGCTGTCCATGGATCGCAGAGTGGAAGGGACTGAACGACTGAGCGACTGATGAATGAACGAATGAGCGACTGATGAAGGATACAAACTTGTAAAATCATCTGAAAGTATACTTATTTAAACTTTTTCTCTAAATAGTTTTGAGACTGTTGAACAGTAAAATTTCCGTTTTACCGTTCATTCACTTCTGTTGTTGGAGGCAGGGAAGGGGGACAAGGTGGCTATCGCGAGGTGTCCTGTCACTTTCCCAATCTCACCTCTTGCACTCGCGATTCCTGCTAGAGGCTGTCTCAGCCCTCCCCTGGGCGGGGCCAACAGCGAGGAATCCAGATTCCCAAGCCCTCCCACTTAAGCACCCTACCTCCCGAGGAGAGGCCCACAACGCGGGGCGGGGGTCGTATTCTCGGGACAACGTAGGCGACGCTTTACGGCAATGGTGAGCGGGGTCGCAGTCGTGTCTCGCTGGCTCCCACGCGAAACTCTGAGGGGACCGATTCTTTCTCGCCGGAGCGTGGCCTCAGCCACGTTGGTCCCCTCAGCCCTCCTTCGTGTCCTTTCCCTGGGGCAACGCGAGGCGATGCGGGGCCGGGACCGGCAGCCTTTCTGGTCCCAGGGACCCTCCCCATCCTCTAACGTCTGAGCTGCCTGTAGCCTGCGTGCAAGGTAGGCCAGTGTTGGCTGCAGCCCGGCCGGCCTGAGAGAGGCGGAGACGGGCAGCGGGGCGCCGCGTGGGCCGGGCTGGGCTGGGTGAGCGTGGGCACCGGGATTGTACTGCTGTGTGTGTTCTGTGCCCTCGCGCCAGTAGGGAGAGGGTCCAAGTAGAGCCCCCCGGTCGGTGGGCCTGGAAGCGGTTCCCAGTGGGAAGAGGGCGGGGCGGGCCGGAGGAGTGTGGGAGGCTCGCCAGCTGCTTCTCCCTTCCTCCCCATTTACGTGGCCGCCCTGGAGTCCGCTTGGTCGGGTGAGATTGACGTGCTGCCCACGGGGACTGGGCATCTCGGAATGCATCCCTAGAGAAGTAACATTTCCTTTCATGAGTTTTTGACCTAAAAAAAAAAAAATGTAGCTCCATTCTCACTTATGCATTGAACCACGTGGAAGAATGTGCTGTGCTTAGTCGCTCAGTCGTGTCCGACTCTTTGCGACCCCGTGGACTGTGCCCGCCAGGCTCCTCTGTCCATGGGATTCTACAGGCAAGAATACTGCAGTGGGTTCCCATGCCTTCCTCCAGGGGATCTTCCCAACCCAGAGATCGAACAGGGGTCTCCCGCATTGCAGGCAGATTCTTTACCTACCGAGCTACTAGGGAAGCGAGGACAATTGAAATAAAAGGGTTACGGATTTTCATGTAAAGGACCGTACATTGTTTACAGTGGGATTATAAGCATTTCATGGGTTAAGAAAGGGGTTTTGGGGCCACTTGAGACAGTTCTAGAGGTAAGGGATTGTCAGGTAATACAGGCCCATCCGAAAGGGCAGGTTTTGGTTGGGAATTCATACTTTGTATGAAATTATAGCATAGTGTAGTTTTTGTTTGTATTTTCTTTATATTAACATGTTATATAATATATATTCATATATGTGTCTGGGGAATATTTTTGTATATTTAAGAGCCTTTTGTGGCTCTTTTTTTGTGAACTATTAATTCTTTTTCTCTTGATTGTTACTGTTTCTAAACGGATATCTAGAAGCTAGTTCTCTATATGTTAGGAAGACTACTGAAGTGAATTAAATTTTTCCCCCATTTTTCAGTGCTTTTCTAACTTAGAGTATGCTTTTGTTGTTGTTGTTAGCATGGTAAATTTTATGTGTTCACATTTATCTTTTTTTTAAAACGGATTTTTGAGTCATATGTACAATAGACTTTTCTTGCTCCACAGCTGTAAAGGAATGTTGCCCATTATTTCTGCGAATAGTTGTATGGTTCTGTGTATTGTCCGTTTAATTCTTGGATCCCTGTACAGCTTATCCTGGTTTATTGTGAGAGGTGTGGCGCTATGAGCCTATTCTAAGTGGGTATCACTTTGTCCCACAGCTGACTGTGCTCTCATTGATTTGGGAGGCTGCCTCGTTGTATACTCAATTCTGGTATGTTTTCAGGTCTGTTCTTGAACTTTGTTTTCTACTATATATTTTCATGTATGGTATGAGTAGTTCTCGCACAACATGGCTATTCATTGTCATAACTCTCTTGGGTATCCCTGCCTATTTATTTTGCCTCATGAACAATGGAAAATAACTAAGTGTTGAAAAGCCTTTGGATTTTCTTTGAGATTCGAATGCATTGCTTGATTTACTGATGAATCGATATGTTCTTGAGCCTAAGTGTCTTTATTTGATAATATAGTACACCTTTATTCTTTTTGAGTCTACTTTTCTGTCTTATAGGAATTTTAAAGTTTTCCTCCTGTAAATTTTCATATTGTGTTTTCACATTATCCTAAGCATATACTCTTTCGTCATTGGTCACTTAGAACCCTGTAAACGTTACTAACTGGATATTTATTTATGAAATTGGCTTATAAAAACCATCCATAAGACACTTAATTGCTAGCAATTTTATTAATTTTCTCAGCTTTACTGAATGGTATATTATCATGTTCTAATCAATGCTTTGAAAGAAGTCTGGAGCCACATAAACTTCCTACCCAAGGCTGTGAACAAGGTGTGCCTTTTTGACCAAAGTTAATGCCTGGGCATATAAAAATACACCAGATAGACCACCTGCTTGAGGTCCCAGATGTCTTTCCAAACAGGAGGATCTTGAAATAAGTCGGAAACAAGGAATTAGGCACTCAGTTGATTATTATGGACAAGAAGTATTGATAATAGACTTTGATCCAGTGATTCCAGAAGAGGATGAATATCTCAATAAATGTATAATGAAAGCATAGAGACATCCTACCCAATACATCACAAGATGGGCTAAGAAACTCTGGAGACTAAGACCCAGACATTAAAAAGGTCCAAACAAAATAACCTTGGTATATTTGCATTACCCTTCCTTTGCATTGCTGAGAAAAAGGGGTAAAAATCTTCTCTAGTGAAACAAATTACCAAATACTGATGATTTTCTTCTTAAAAGACTTCCATTAATATTATCTGTTCTTTTATGATACATAGACTCTACATTAGTGATTAGGGGTGGATAGAGGGGGGAAACATAAAATATTTTCAAACAGGAAATGCTAGAACCTTGCATCTCCTAATGGGGCTTTTGACACTCCTTTAGATGAATTTATATTTAATTTCTGGCACTGTGTTAAACAGTGGTAAACAGGGTGACCCTGCAGCAACTCTGGTTCCTTTGCTGTCTCCGATATGAACGTACCTTGTCTGGACGGACCGTGTGTACAACCATCAGGCTGTCCTCTCTGTGACTCTAGAGACAGTACCTCAGCTGCACTAGTAAACGGGGTAGGACCATGCATGATGCGTCTCCTGAGGTGTCCTGTGCTGCCCCAGTGCTAAAGGCACAGTAACGGAAAGGGGATAGGTTCAGATATACTGCTACCTTCCTGGATGAGGATCCTTTCCTCTTCTGGTCATCAAGGCACGCCGAGGACCCAACAGGGATGAGGCTCCACTCATTGACATGTGGAAAGGCTCCCCAAATGTGGCCAAGACAGTGAGCTGCCATGTTGAAGTCAATTTGGACAGGGGTTGGACAAGTTTTCTCCCCCTCACATAGGGCAAAGGGACAGGTCTTAGGGATTGGGGGACAGGGTGGAGAAGAGCAGAATGGCATTTTTTGTGCACTGCTGCCATCGTGAGGAACTCATCGTCACATCCCATGCACACTGTACTGTCTTTTAGAAACTATGCAGAATGAAGTCAGGGTCCCAGGCAGGACAAGGGACCAGCTCTGCCTCCACACCCCCAGGGTCCAAGCTTGGCCCGGCCTGGTGAAGTTTAGGCCAAGAGCAGCCGAAACTGGGAAAATTCCAGGCTCCAGGAATGTGCTACCGCATAACACATAGCCCAGAGGTGAAGTCATTGGACCCTGGTGGCCACCTTGTCTGGACGGGACTAGTGGAAGCTGCTGTTTTACAATGCCCAGTGCTGCTCTGTACTGACCCATGTGTGCCACCGTCCACACCTGAATCCCCCTGGGCCCCTGTAGGAGAAGAGCCAGGTCCTCAGTGGCATTCCATCCATCGTCCGACCAAAGAAAGTTGACATCAACTGTTGACACCCGTCCAGTGCCTCTGGGCCGCCATCCTTTGTGTTCCTCTGTGACCCATGAGAATGGGGCTCTCTAGCCACTGGCTAGGTGTGACTCGATCTGTGTGCCCACATTCAGGATGTTTCCCGAAGTCTTAGGCAGATGTAGGTGCTAAAGACACTGCTGCAGGTCCACTGCTGGGTGCCTGCATGGGGAATCTTCACTCTTTTGTGAAGAGGGCAGACTGAGAGGATGCCATGGAGACCTGGCCCTGCAGACTGGAGTGCCAGAGGCATGCCCCTCTATAGTGGCCAGGCTGTTGAGCCATCTCTCTTTGGCCAGGTTGGACAGGGCTTGGTGTTTCCTTTTTTCCTCAGCAAATGGCAGAGGGAAACATATTAGGGTGAGGGAAGGGGAAGGGCAAGTGGCCATTTCTTGTGCAGTGTTGCCATCAACAGGACAATGGGTCCACCAAATCTGTGAACCCTGTACTGTCCCTTCCTGAGTAGGAGTTTTAAGGGATTGAAAAGACAAGGGACAGTGGCCTCCAGGAAGTGCAAAGCTCTGCCAGGGAGGTGCGAGAAGCAGGCCCCAGGGCTGGGTGGGGTTGTGGAAGCTCCCGTGACAATACCAGGACAAGGGGCACAGCCAGGGTGCCTGCCCTGTGGGGTACAGGAAGTGGAGTCTCCATGGACCCTGGTGGCCACCATGTCTGGGTGGCACTAGAGGAAGCTGCTCTGAAGGAACCCAGTGCGGGGCTGAGGACATTGACCCGCTGGCCCTTTCCCCTGGGAGCCAGAGCAGGATGGGCCTGAGTGGGCCCAGAGCCCCAGAAGCCTCGCTCTGGGCTGCGGCCCAGGCAGAGACCACACTGGACAACTGGAGTTCCGCTGCCATCAGGGGCGGAGGCAGGCCTAGTGACCTTCTTCTGTCCAGTGCCGATGACATGTGGATCCTGGCTACGCAGTGCCAAAGGAACCCGAGGCCCAAGGATAGCTCCCAGTCAGCCTCCAAAGGGAACAGTACTCGCCGGACACAGGAGGCACCGCAGCAAGGCGCCCTTGTCCTGAGCCGAAGAATCTCATTGGCAGGTGCAATGTCATCTTCCAGGGTCTCCAGGATTCTGGCCCTGGCCAGTCTTGTCCCCAGGTCTCCCAGAGCTGCGTCCCAGAGAGCAGAGAAGAGCCCAGCCAAGTGGATCCCCGGGCCACGTCTTTGCAAGCTTCAGCTTTCTCCTCAAAAGGCCCTGAGCCTCAGTTCAGTGAAGAGAGGAGGACAGGCCCTACCTTCCATTCAGCCCTGGCTCTCCAGGTCTCAACCCTGTGCTTGCACCCGCAGCCCAGGTAGGACATCAAGAAGAAGAGGTCTGAAGAAGCTGCCTGGAGCTCACCTCTACTGGACCGAGAGAAACGCCTCCTGCTTCCCTCTCTTTCAAGACCACCACTCTTCCAGCTTGTCTGCCAAGGCCAGGAGCCTGGTGCATCCCGCCGGGCACAGGGTTCTGCCTTCTAGTCCCCAGCTGACCCAAAATGCCACTTCTGGAGCAAGCTCTGGGGCAGCTCATGCCTGCCCTTTACTTGGCTCTAACCTGCCTGAGGGGTGGGGATTGGGGTGGTTTTGTGGTGAGGGACAGGGCTGAGGGGGGATGACTTCCAACTGGAAAGAAGTTTCCATGCGGGAACACTACCTCTTCCAAACATACCCCCTCACTTTCACCCCTCCTCGAAGGGTGCTGAATGCCACCCCATGCCCCTTCTTTCACACTACTGAGTTGCCCAAAATGTTGTCATGTGAGGTTATGTGGGCAGAGCCTCCCTTAGGACCAGGCCCTGACCAACCTATGGGGTCTGATGGGTCAGCTGGCACAGGTGGTCTCCTTGTGCCCCTGTGCTCAGGACCAATGCCTGCACATGCAGAACACAGAGCCCCTCATGAAAAATCACAGCAGTCCTCCCCAAGAGGAGGACCTAGGTCCTCCACAGGGAGGAGGGCTGAGGAATAGGGGCTCCCCTGGTTTCACAGTTCCATTCCTGAAATAGAATGCCAAGGAAAACAGATCTGGATCCCCTCTCTGGCTGCAGATGGTGACACCCAACTCAGGGTACCACTCTGGGACCAGTTTTATCCCACTGCCTGGATACCCTGTGTCTAAGGTCACGGAAAGGGCCTCACGGGACCCCATTTGACGTGGGACCCAGACTCTCTTTGGCAGTAACAAAAGTAAACAAAAACTCAACTTCCACCAGGACATAAAGTACACATGCATTTGTCTCAGTCTGTGACCAAGCCTTCATCAGGCAAAATTCCACATCCTGTCTGCTGGATGTTCACCCCTGACAGGGTGGCCACCTCTTCCCCTTTCAGTTTCGTCCATGTCGCCAAGAACAATGACTCCACTAGGGCAACGGTACCTGGGTCCCCGATGGCCCTGAGACCTGAGGTACCTCACTGGCGGCCCTTGCTCCTGCAGGACTGGTGAGGATATCCTGGCCAGAGGCCCTGGGGCTAGAGCTTCAGTTCCTTGTTCCTAAAAATAGCTGATGCTGAGGCCATGCCCCAGAGGCCCTGGCAGCCATGGGCTCCTCCAATGGGCGAGCCCTGACCCAGAACACCACTGTTGCTTCCACACCAGTTCTGGAGGTGTGCCCGGCGGCCAGGTTCTCCCAGAATCCTCTGTGTGCTCCAAACCCTCCCTTCCTCCCCTCAAAAGCCTTCCTCAGCATGATCCAGAGGCAGGACCTGGAGACAAAGCTCAAAAAAGCTTGTGCTTGATGGCACTGTTGCTCCAGAAATGCCATCCACCCTCTGGAGCCTGGCCTCACCCTCCACCCTTTGCAGGTCAGAAAAGGCCCATGGAGGCCCAAGAGTCTTCCAAGCCATCCACTGGAGTGTTGTGGGAAGAGGTGTCTCCTCCACTGGGGGCTTATGCTCTGCAGTAAGAATGTGCAGATAAGGACAAGCAAAGGAAGCCATCCATTGCTGGGTGCATGTCCGTAACATTCTAAGAGATTCTGAGTCCGCATGGCCTGATCCCCATTTCCTGGAGACCCAGACGTGTTTTATTTTGTCACTTTGTTTTTATTGGCCAGGATTAGGATAGAATCACCTTGATGTTTTACATAACTAATGATTGGTTGAAGACCTGTGCTACTTGGGATAAATCCAGGTTCTAGCCATGCATACAAAGTGTGCTCCTGTAATATGGATCCTTTTGGAATATGTGTCAAGATTGGTCCCTACAGAACATTCTTACTTAGTGTCTCTGTCCAGTTTTGTAACTTGTTTTTAACTAGGTGACAGAGAATGCTGAAGAAACCCCAAACTGTTATTTGTCCCTTGTGCCAGGACACTCATCCCTCATGGGAATCAATAAGTTGTAAGTGGGAGAACATTTCTGTATCTGTGGATGCAGGGCTAACAGGTTATTTATTTCGGGAACCTCAGGGCCAGTAGTTTAGGTAAGCAGAAAAGCTCATCATTGTGTTCAGTCCTAACAAATTACTGTGTGATACTAAATGCTCACAGTGGGTTACATCACAGATGGTTTGCAATATAAACTCCAGTCTATCTGTATGTTTAGGCTTATTTCTTTTAAGAGTAGGTAGTGGCTGGCTGGATATTTTTTTCTTTTTAATGGAACTAGAAGATGACGTGTGTTGTTGTTTTGTTTCTTATGTTTTTCATGCTGAATTCTTACTGATGGATATTGATCTGCATCTGTGGAAAAGGTATTCAACAGTATTTTCTTTTCAGGTCAGTTTGATAAGAAAATCAAAGGGTGTGATCAACAGCTCATACATACAGTGTCTTGGTGTGGACCCAGAGTTCAAGCACAGATGAAGAGCAGACACTGACTTCACACTTCTGATAGATATGTAACACAGCCCTCACATATGCTTTGATTCTGTTTCCCTCTTCTGTACAGTAGGCTCATCTCTCAAGGCAAGTCTCTCACCAAAATTCCTTGGGTTAGTGTCTGGTTAGTACTGTGTTCAGGTGTACTTAGTCGCTCATAGTTGTTAATCGTAATGATGAGAAGATTTCTGCCTGTGTGATTCAAATATCAACCTATTTGTAAGTTCCAACAGCCCTGAACTCAGTTAAAACTCAGAGCCTTGAAAAGGCCATTATTTTACCGGAGTCAATTTCACACATCTGATAGGTATGCAGCAGAACTCCGAGGTGTACTTTGTGTTTTACTCCAGTGCTTTTTACAAAGATGACTGAAGTATTTTAATCCAGTTTATACTGATTCCATGGAGGTGTATCATTAATGCTAACACTGAGCAAATGCAAGGTTACTTCAGTAACCTGAAACCTTTTAAAGGTTCCAGAACCATGTTCCAGAACATGGCTGCTGCCAAAGCCACACCCCCGATGGCCTGGCAGCCAGAGGCTCCTTGGTGGGCAAGCCAGGCCCCAGAACACTGTTACCTGTCCCTTCCACACTTGCTCTGGTGGAGTGCCAGGGGGCCAGTTTAGCCCTGAATCCTCTGAGTTCTCCAAACCTTCCCTTCCTCCCTCACAGGTCTTCCTCAGCAGATTCCACAGGAAGGGTCTGGACACTGTGGTCAAAAAACTGCCGCTTGATGGCACTGTTGCTCCAGAAATGCCAACCACCCTCTGAAGCTGGGCCTCTTTCTCCTTTGCATGTCAAAACAGGCCCATGATGGCCCAAGGACCTTCCAAACCCTCCAAGTTGTGTTGGCTCCACTGGAGTACTGGGGAAAAGGTATCTCCTCCTTTGGGGGCTTTTCCTTGGCAGTATGAACTGACTGAAAAGGACATCCAAAGGAGCCGTCCATCTCTGGGTCCATGTCCACAGCACTCTAGGAGATTCTGAGCCATTTGGCCTGGCCACTGCTTCCTGGTGAAAGGTTGTTGCTGAACCGTGAAAGATGCTGAAATTCTTGGCCTCCAGAGGCAAGAAATTCAATCTGGGGCCAGTGACGAGTCTTGATCGGTCAGAGCTTTGTAATAAAGTTTTATTAAAGTATAAAAGAGATAGTGAAACCTTCTGACATAGACATCAGGGGGGGCAGAAAGAGTCTTTAGCAGTAAGTTATATATCTACTAGCAGGCTGCTAATTAGAGAAAGGATATGTCTCAAAACTCAGAGAGTGGCACCAGGCCCCTCACCCACAACATGAATTTTGAGATAAAATTGGCACAAGGTGAGTCATCCCAGGCCATAAAGCAATTGACTTGAATCTTGAAGAAAAGGCAGGTTTCCAAGCAAATACCTAGTCTCATTAACATACTTTAAGAGAACATTTGCATGAGTAAAACAGACTGTTTGTTGAGTAAAACATGCTGGTTTGTCAAGTCATTTCTGAGTCTTAGGCAGAACAGACTTGAAGAAAGACTGTCTAAGGTAAATACATAGTTCATTAGCAAAGCTTAAGAAAAACATTTCCATAAGAAAAATGCATTGGTTAGTTCAAGGTTTGAGAAAAGTTAAGCTCAGGTGGAACCAGATGTTGTCATGGTAACACTGAATTTTAAAGGAAACCTTTTATTTTGTGTAGAGAAGAGAAAAAAATCTGACACTTGTTTGTTTCCTCCTGCTGCTTAAGAGAGAGATAAAAAATGTCTTGACACTTGCAACCTAATTCCTCCCTTTGGGGCCCCCAAGGCTTCCTACCTGTTACCCTCTCACTGGGGACCAGGATATGATGTATTCTGTCACTTTGTAATTATTGGTTAGAGTAAGGGCCAGAATTACCTTTAAAATAACATTTATTTCTTAAAAGTTAACATGTGCATAATAGGAAACCAAAAAGCACAAGAAGCAAAAAACAAAGTCATTCATAATCACAAGCAGTTTACCGTTTGACATGTCCTTCTAGGTCTCATTTGTGTATTTTTCACAACTAAGCGTCCATTTTTATGTAATTAAGATCATACAGTTATGTATCATGCTGTTTCACACATCATGAATATTTACGATTTCAAAGTCCCAAAGCTATGAGTATTTTGATAACCAAGAATACACTACACCAACTCAATCTGGAAGGAAAAAAATGTAATCTTGCCTTTCTTGGCAACGAAACTTCAAAGACAAAAATGGCAACAGGCCTCTAGATAAACATACTGGCAGAGCTATGATTAAAATACTACATTCCCTTAATGTTCAATTAAAATGAGACATAAAGCAACAGAGTACACGAAGTATAACAGTCCTAAGTGGATCCATCATCTGGTCTAAACTATTACAGTGTCAGCAAGGAGGTATGTTTCTGCTGAATTATTTAACAATGCATTCCTATAGTACAGCCAGGAGATGCACACACATCAGTGGTCATCATCAAAATATAAACGTGAACACATCCACATTCAGCCCTCCCTCTATACTTCCTTCCGCCCCTCAGCTGCCAACCTAAATGAACAAGTCCTGATGTACATTTCTCAGAGAAGGTATAATTATTCCAGGTCCAAGATGCTGCCTTTTTAAAAAAATCAATTATAAAAAGGATATTTACAAATTGGTTAACTCACTAGTTCTACTTTATATCATACATTGTCACCTCAGGACATCTAAAAAGCCTAGATGTTTCAAAGTAATGAACCTTGTCCACAATAAACATAGGTACTTCACAAAAATGCACATTACAGACCTATAACCTAAAACTGTCTTCCAGATAATGGGAGATATTAGCCAAGAGCCCTTCCCCTCACCCTTCCTCTTACTCCTTCAGCATTTCAGCGACTAAGTACCAGACTACATCTAGTTCCAAGAGGTGGATTAACATAGATACTCCCAGAAGACACAGCCCTTCCTTAAAACCAACAAAAGGGCATTCATTAAGGGGTTATTTTACTACCTCTACTCTTAATATACTTTGGGCATTAGGACTTGCTTGTTCTTTAACACACAGCAATATTAACTAAAAGGCACAAACAGAACAATAGGTAGACAATCTGAACTTGTCTATAAAGACTGATGGGCAGAGCCCTGCTCTCTGCACTTCCTTCCCTGTCCCCTCCCCCACCCCCACCACCCAGTAAACGTCAGCTTACTCTCCAAGACAACCCCACTCCCCAAATAAAACTATTCCTATTAACAGAAAAAAAAAAATACTTAAAAGGTGTTTAACTCTCTACTTTCAAAATATGTTGTGTACTTTTACTCATCTAAAAGGCTAGATGTTTCAAATAAAGATTTAAGTTTGTCCACTATACATACACATAGTAGCACTGAATACACTGCGTACAATGGATATAGTCTCAAAGTATCATCTAAACAGGAACACTCTAGCCAAGGACCCTTCGTCTTCTCTATCAACCCAGTGGACAAGTCTAATAAGCATCTATAATACTTAGAGAGGATTTTAACAATTTCACTTCTGCTAGTTGTTTTCAGAAGTCTTGCCTATGAATTTTAACATCAAGTGTACACAATGTATTTATTGGTTATTTTTGTCATACACTGGCAACCTCTTTAACATCTAGGAAGACCAGATGTTGTAAATTTG